TACACTGTTATTCACAACAAAAAGACAGTTCACCGTACAAGTGAATTAGACCATCAGCCTAGGACGAGGTTCGAGACTAGTTCCATGATTCTCACTCCCACTTTTCCAATAATCCCACAAAAATCCCTTACTGCGCTGCTCGTGCTCACTTTGACAACCTGTAAATTAACTCATCATCACATCTCATGTGAATCTGAGGCCCCTTTCGAAGATTCTTTAAGGGTAGGACTTTTTGGACTGCATCAGGAGTCAGGCTCAGAATGCCAGAAAGTGATGGAGTGATGTGATGTGCTCGCATCCAGCTTGACTTTTTTATCTAAACTGTGAGTTTCGGAGGTGAGGGACATGTATTTCCTGGGCATCCGCAGTAAAGCAGAGGAAGGTTAACGGATGGTGCAGTTTATGTTGCCTTCGTAGGTAGGTACAAATAAACTATTGGTTTGAATCTGGAGCTCGTTGAGGAACTCAATATTCATACGGGCATACATATAATATCATTTCTATTAGCCCATCAGGCTAATTTTGTTACTCTGCTGCTCTATGGAAAAAGCCAGCGGTCGAGCTCTTTCTGGGCCTTTCCTCTGGTGAAGATGGAATGGAAAGGTTTCTTCCTGTAATTGGATTATGGCAGAAGACAAATGAGACCAGAATTGGAGGGCTACTCACACAATCTTCCAGAAGCCCTTTCACCTCGTTACCAACACGATAAAAGTTGATACAGATAAAGATCCAATCTTCCTACCACTTTCTCTTTTCTCTTTTTTATGTCTTCGGAATCTTAAAATTATCTCTTACCATTCTTTAATTATCCTCTATTTTACTCTGAGACTGGGGAACATAAAGGTACTCTTGTTGATATGTGATCCGTTTCTTTATTGCTTCTAGGCAATAGCTACGGGGATGCAATAATAGGGATGTAGATACTTACATTTTGATAGCAAGAAAGTATCAGGACAAATGAGAGCAGGAGTTGAGGAACACTCAAATCATTACCCAGAGTCCCTTTCACCGGGTAACAACGTAGTAAAAGGGATGTAGATGTACGTACTATTTTCCTACCACTTTGTCTTTTCCCGTTTGTATGTCTATAGTCTTTAGGGCTTTAAAATTCTCTGTTACAATTCTGTAATTATCCTCTACTCTACTCCGAGACTGTGAACATGGGGATCTCCTCGTTGACAAGTGATCAGATTCCTGTTGCTTCTAGGAAGTATCTAGTATAATTCAAAATTCTTACTAAATTGCATCACAATGCACAAATATATACTTGCAGAGTGTTAGATAAATACTCTAATAGCACGAAAGATGACTTTTTTGGTCAAATTATGCACCAAGCGCAAAGTGCATCAAATGTGTATCAGATTAAATATGAGAAGGAATTACATCCACATAGTATGAAAAATTCAAAACCAAAATCAGATAAATCTCAAAACTATGATGAAGATTAAACGGTTATCTAAAATTTATGCATTCACACGCGAATTGTAAACTTAAGTTTATAAGAGCCAAGTAGTTCTAGATAGTGACATAAGTTGAGCCCGTATGTGAACATGGATCTACTAAAATCTTCGAAGACCAAGAATTAGGAGATTATATATGGAATCACAATCTTCATTATTAGTAATTTATAACATCCATCATCTTCACATGAACAATGTTATGAGTTTTGATCAGATCAAAAGCATGTAGCTTTGATGGTACTAAGGTCTTGCCGTGATAGTTCTTTCTATCTACCTAAACCCATCATCTACATATCTTATTGATTATCTTATATCATCTATAAATGTTATTGACTCTGATTTTCCGAAATGAAACGAATTTTGAAAACACAAATACAGGCTAACAATTAATTCTTAGACTAAAAGAAATGCAGATCAGATAAGCAGGAAAGGATCACAAACTGCAAGGTCATAATTTTGTCTTCCGATTATCAGAGCTTCCAAGCAGCATGACGGAAGAGGGAGCTTGAGAAGGGATTTCAGACTCAACAAACACGTTCCAGGTCACGGTGGTCGAGTACACTGATTAGGTGCCGTCGAAGGCCAAGAGTCCGAAAGCCTTTTGCCATTATGTCGATACCTTTCACCGACACGCCGCGGGTCTAAGAAACAGAGGCCCAATTCTCCTTTAAGTGGACCAAATTGACCACTTGCTGGTCCCGGGGAAATAAAAACAGACGACAGAATCAGAAGGCAAGGGGATGGTGAGCACCTATCATGAGAGCAGCAGCCAGCAGCGGATAAAAAGGAGAGCAGATGGAACGGATTCATATGCACGAGAACATGTGTCATCCATCCAACTGCCTTCAGAGAGTGGATTGCAGCAAGTTTTGTCTAGTAAAGTCAAAACCAGCATGCGCGTTGGCATAGAAGCAAGGGGAGAATTGAAGATAGAGAGTGTGGGCGGGTGGATGAAATGTGATGTTCTGTAATTCGGTCCTGCACGAAGATGTCTCATGGGAGGACCAGCAGCAGCAGCCTCCCCAGGTTTTTTGTCAACTCCAGGAGGTGTCTGCCCTTCTCACACTATTTCCAGTATAGAGTCGGCCACAACTCTTCATTGCACTCACAGAAGTGCGGACCACTGAAGAAGGGCCATGCTGTGGATGGGAGCCATGGTAGGAGGCTGCTTCCCTACATATGACCCACTGGCTGGCTGTCTCTTTCTGATGCTGCTTGCTGGTTGGGCAACATCCCATGCAGCGGTTTACGGCGTTCGGCGCCCGCCGGAGACATAATGTTCCGACTTGTCATCCAGAGGAGTGACAGAAAGTGGCAGCTCTTACGAGGATGTTTCATATGAGCGGCGAAGGAATCAGTCGGCCACATCATTTGTCCTGCAAACCTTGAACATGAGCTGCAACAGCACCGCAACATTCGTGCACGGAAGCGAGCAGACAGAGAAAGAGAGCGAGTCCGAGAAGTACGCGGGATCATCTATCATTGCCTCGGCGAGTAGACCTGGCCAGGTACAGCTATGTCCAGCACAAGTTTTACTGTCAGCGTGGCTAATTGCGAATGCTCGTGGTGGAAACGACATAATATGAAGAAGAATGTTACACATCTGCTGATGGCCTGGTTCCCTGTTCGACCTCATGTTCTCTCCCAGCGGACCACAGTGTCCAGCATATTTATGACCAAAGCAACATACTTAGACAAGGGACGGAATCTCATTGATCAATGATCACAATCATGACAACCGCTTAGAAGTTGGAATCAGTGCACTTTCGGTGGCACCATGGCAAAAAGGTTCCTTAAAGGCAGCCAGCCATGTAATTTCAGAGCTCAAAGTGATGATTCTAGTGACACACACTCGATAACTCCAGACTATTCTGAAACCTCTAACTTGATTTTCTCACCCAAATCTGATGTAAAACACGTCACACTCGATCACTTTTGTCACAGATGATTTGCTCCCAAGTGTGTGGTCAATCACCGGAAACTTTTGCCGCTGGGATTCGAGGTATTAGTTAGCCTGGGGTGAAAATCACAATTTTTGATACTCAGCCGGAACCCTGTTCTCAGAATCTACTGTAAGCTGCTGTTTATTGTCGTCCTTGAAGATAAACTTTTGATTCGGGAATCAAAATCTACCGGATTTACGTGAACATGTTCCATGCAAATCATCCACTCAACAGCGGTATGCCTGTAATACTGACACCGATCAGAGATTAATCGTGCGTCATATTCCTGAGATTAAAAGCACGTGAGGTCCTCAGAAGAACAGCCTGGGCTGAGTTTCGCACGATCATGGACTGACCATTTTTCCACCAGGAGTAATCACGATAGCGTCTGGTAACAGCAAATAAATGACCTATCGAAAATCAGAATTGATGTATAGACTATTCTATGTGAACCTACGACAGGGTTCATAATTGAGAATCATTTTTGGGAGCACAATCCTTCTGCGCTGGAATGGTTCAACAGGGCTCAGATTACATGAACGGATCGGGGGACTGATACATTTTACTACCTATGTCAAGGAATTGAAGCCAGAAGTCCTCACGGTAGGATCTGTATAATGAGATAATATGTATCTACTGCCACTAGAGTCATAATGATAAAGCCAATGCCATCGAACAGTCACAACCAACTTCACGGGTACATATGTCAGCCTTTACTTCTACCGATGCCAGTCATAAAAATCTGTAATCTGTTGATCTCGAGCTATGACCGTGAGAGAATATTTCCAGGTGGTCAAATTCTTATAGCTTCTAAGTAGGATGATAATGATTCTTCCCTGATGTCATAAATATCAGCATTCACACCTTCTAGTGTTCTGTCCTCATGACGTGCTTTGCACCTTTCACACATCCACGCCGTCACCAAGGTGCGTGAGCATTTCAGCATCAATACAGAACTTTGCTGTAGTAGTCTCCAAACGCAACTTGATCGGGTTCCTGATTCGCGTGACGTTGGGGCTAATGGTCCACACCTCTATCATTGCTGAGCCTTTCGTTTGTACTTCTCTCAGTCGCATCCGTGATTCGCAACATAACTTACGATTGATACCATGTTTCCGTCGTTTTGTGTTGGATGGAGGTCTGAGAATGAAGACCCTGTAGCCCACAAATTGGGCACCTAGAGTCTACATCTGGGAGTAAGTGGCTTTGGTCTAATCGACCGAGCACAAGATGCAGCGATCTGCTCCTTTCAAATTCTGGTAAAGGGGTATTTCTTCTTACTGCATGACGGACATGAGGACACTCAGGGCTAACCATCACCCATCCATCCTCAGTCAAGATCGCACAAAGCCCAATGAGATTTTTTAACAAACAATAAAAAACCAAGAAAAGACATATTCAGAAATTACAATCACGAAGAAGCTAGTCTCGTTCTTCTCCGCTATTCAAAATCTCAGCAACAGTTAACATAATGACGGGAATAACATTGGCCTGTACTAATATGCTTCACCAAATGTGCTGCCAAAGCAGCAGGTCCACATTCAAAAAACTTACTATTCGACGAAATTTCTCACAAGTTTGAGACGGCCCGAGGGGTCACGATGAACTCTGCTCTTGCAACCCAAGGGTTGAAGTGACAATCATATAAAACATGTAAAACAATTATTTACAATACAATTAACTCACAGGTATGACCGGTAAAGGATCAATACCGAGTTAAGTCTTCACATGCTGTAGACTGCTGCATATTAGATGATTCTTCATCGAATAGGAGTCCTTAGACCCTCAACCTAAACCCCAAATGTTGAATACCCTACACACGTTGAAGTACACCTGAGGATTTAAAGATCTACTCATCGTGCAATCACTGACCTTGGTCAGATATTAAACAAGTCCAAAATCTAAAAGCCATTTCGGATCATCTGCATGGTTACAATCTGCACCTCAACTAATACCACCACCTCTCCGGCCGTGAAAGCGTATCAGTACGTTTGCGCATACAAACATTTCAACTGATACTGCCATCGTGATTGCCCCAACCACTATCACTGTCCTCGGTTGAATAAGGCTAGAGTTCACGACGGTGCGCCCCACCTATACTGCTGTCAGTTGCATTGAACTCATTCGGAACCTAAAATTCCTGACACCGAGCTCCTCTAGCCGGCTGCCAGACGCATGTCTTAGCACACGGAAATTCGCGCGTTTCACCTTCGGAGATTTGAAGCACTCTGGGTATTACCCAGTCTTCAATATAATATTTACTGCCGTGGAGGCTCCAAGCCTGCATCTTAGTGATACCCAAAAGACTAGCGTGGAGAAAAAGCTGTCCCAGGATCTGCACAGACGCTTTAATATGTGAAGATGCACACACTTCCAAGCTATTGGTAAGGTCGATTTCCAGCTCGACCCAAAATTTGAAAATATCTTCACAATCCCCTCTGAAGTGTAAGGTTCAACCATCGTCTGGACTCGTATTGCCCATCCTTAGCAACTTCATTCACCTTCTTCTTCCTGAGGTTCTTCCTCTTCTTGCAAAAGATTCTCCCGGTTATCGTGAGCCCAGAATCCACGTACATCTGTAAGCATGCTTGCAATAGTACCACCCTGTCGACAATTCAGCATGTCTGCTAAGGTTATCCTGGTCATATCAGCAGGCTTGACCATGTCCCATATTTCATCTCTAACATCATCGATAGAAAGGTCATAATTACCCCCTTCGATCCACTTACGATGCACGTCCCTGGAGTACAATCAGAAAGAATGACCATATCAGTAATCTACAAGTTCGATAAAGGCCAGTAACAACAATTGCCTAGGAATAAGCAGCTACATTAAATATAGGAGGATCTGAGGCCTGCAAGCCAATCTTCAAGGTATGCAAGCAGGAAATGCCCCATCTCTATTTTGGAAGATTGTATCAAGTAACACAACATATCTGTGCATGGCTACTCTTCTAGTCTTCCAGACGACTTTGTTACTGTATCAAATACGTGGTTTGACAGAACAATAAGCCGGGTAATATATTCGAATAGATACCACGTGTTCAAAAACATTCAACCAAGGCTTTTTTTTAACTGTGCATAAAGTTGACCCCTCTATATCTATATCCCGCCAGTGCAGAGTTGATTAAACAACAACTGTAAGGAAGAATCTATGAACTAATTAGAACTACAAATGGTCAAACCAATTTCAGATAAACCAAATAAAAAGCAAGAAAACGCAAATCGAAGACTCTTATCAGCTAAGGTGAATAGTGCTTGTCATGAGCAATTGGAATAGGTGAATAAGGTGAATAGGCATGAGCAATTGTCCATAAAGGATTTGCTTGCGTTACCTGAAGAGCGTGTGAACATCAACCGTTGTGAGATAGCCTCTTGAATGGAGATCAAGGCATTTGAATAAGTATGAAAGCCCTTCGGTCGAGTCTCTATTCTCAAGGGCCAATACAAAGTCCAGGAAACTATCAAAGTCCATCTCTCGTGCCTTCCCTGCTCCAGGCCCCGTTCTGCCTCGTCTAACATGTTCATCAAAAACTGCAATTTCCAAATAGATATCAAGTATCAGAACGAGAGACTTAAACATCAATTTACGAACTAAAGCGACTTGGCAAGGAAATTAACTCTAAGAATCCACTAGATGAATGATTTAGTACAACAATTCACACCCGAGATACTCAAATGATACTCTGCTCTCAAAAGTAGCAAAAGTTTCTTGGATAACCTCGTTCAATAAATATCTCGGTGAGGGTGCCGTCTGAATACGCTTGCAGTTCTTGCTTGTTCAAAGTTCCATTCAAGTCCTTGTCAAGGGCAAGAAACATATCTGGATCAACCAGGTATACTTGAGTTAGTATATGATGTTGGTGTAACATACCTTCATTGTCGGAAAATGCTTCAATGATGCTGGAAGACAATCAGTTAAATTAGAGATCACCTCCAGGAATAACAATTTCACCTACTATGCTATGGAGGGATAGAACAAAACTTTGGACTATTCGAAGACTTGTATCCAATGACAGAGCTGACTACAGTGCGCACCGCATATCCGTTGAGCGCTGCTGAGTGAGAACCAGTTATCACTAGAATCTGCCTCCCCACCATCTTCCTCGGTTTCCTGAACAGCAACACTCAAGCTTTGAGTAAAGACCAGAAGCAGAAGACATTGACTGAAATATGATTACAGGAACAAGACTAGCTCTGGATTCAGGGCAACACAACTTGCAGCAACAAATTCATTGCAGAATCCGGGATATGTCAAATCAAAGGCAATAGCTAAGTTTCACCCTTGAAGACTATGTGTTGAGTCGATACGTTTGCTAAGAAATCAGCGACAAAGAGCCAAGATTACGGACTAACCTGGTGAAGTTCCATAAGCTCCGCAAGGCAGTTACTTAGAAGAACCTTTTTTATACAAAGCTTTCCTGAAAGACCGAAGTAAGGGCTAGATAAACCAACGGAATTCTCACGTAAACTCTACTCAGATTACATATTAAAGAGTGCATTTGCCATGTGTTTGGAGGTAACATGTAATGTGTTTGAAAACGAAGATACCCTTGGGCAAGACAAACCTGCATCAAAGTAAGGATGCTATCATTTCTTCGGAAGTAGCAGTCATCAGAGTCACACCTTCATCACTAGTCCAAAATATCGTGTACAAGACGAAAAATACCTCGTCTTTGTGAATCACAGAAGAAGAAGAACTTCCGAGTGGCAATACGGCAATACATGGTAACGAAGGGAGCAGGAATGTCACGAAGTTGGGCAAGATTAGGAATTAATCCTCGAATATATCCTTCCATCTCCTGCATTGAACAGAAACGAAATATCAAGGACCCTCACTCAATCTCTTATCAAGATTAACTAAAACAATGCTCAAGTGATTGTAGTTAACTCTGCAAGGGTGAGAAGTCTGATATGTCTGAAGTACTGGCATCAATCGACGAGGCGAGGAACTCTAAGTACAACTTAGGACATTACGCAATCTAACTACCTGTGGTTGGAGAAACCCATCGCCATCATCATCAAGTTCACACATATCGATACGGGCCTGAGTCAAGGACACCTGCAGAGAGAAATTCGTAAGAGATGTCATGAGAACAGTCATCGGATTCTTCCGCTTAGCCACAGACGGATGACTGACGTTTTGACCGGCAATCTAATAACAATCATCCAAAAGAAATGAGCAATTTTTATAACCCAGTATTATGTGTACAGAATGTAATTCACTCATCAGATGCATTTGATCGACCATAATAGCAATTATCCTCAGACTTGGTAACCAGTCATATCGAGGGATGAAACTCTGTTGTTGAATCGGCCTGCTACGACATGACAAGATAAAAAGCGTATTTCTAGTTTCGAAAGATCATTGGTGGTACTTACCGTGCGCATGACATACAAATAGAAGGGCAAAATAGCGATTCTTCCAAATTCGTCTTTTTCGAACTTTAAAAAGTTGGAGGGAGAGAAGAATCTCTTGCACTTTGCACCTATCTGCTCAGTACATATTGAAGCAATCCCGCAAAAGTCTTCATAATTCATCTGAAAAGAGAAAAGTGTACTAAAACGTTAAGCCTAACAAATAAACTGAAGATTCTCTAACTTTGAGATCGTAAAGGTGTGGCTGTACAAGACTAAGTTGTCTCCTGTCTCGTACTTTTCATTTTGTAGAACAAGATGGAGAGTAACGAGGGGGAAATTGTGGGGAAAAAAAGGAATCAATCGAGCATATTACAGAGGCACTAGCGGTACCTTTTCAACACCATTGGCGTTGTCAATGCTACAATTCTCACGCAAACAAACCCACATTGCGTCTAAATCGTCCGCGTTCAGTAACACTTCAGCTTGTTTCTGCATTCGTCAATCACACATTAAGAAGTGTTCCCACGTGGTTGACAGCATTTGATGAGGACCTAGATTGAAAGATCAAAAGAACAATTGAGCAGACAGCTGCAGGAAATGGAAACTTACGGAACTGAATACCATATAATAACCTTTATGTGTTCGTCAAAGCAGGAAACAGTGTAACCAGAACAATCTGCCATCGCCAGAAGATAACCTAGACCTTACAGCTCCTTCGAAGGGCAACACGGGTCTAAGAAGGCAGAAAGCTGGAATGAAACTACTAGGTCTCAAATTTCATTGGTGAGGCTGGTGTGAGAACGACTGGACTCACATATCCCTCTTTAAGCAAAATTCTGATCGGAGCAGCAAGAAGAGATCATGAACACGCATCGAAGCAGTGTACCTATAACCAATGCTGCGTAATTTCAAGTCCGAACTACTTTAAAGTGATCGATAATGATCATGCAAGACAATGAGTCCAGAAAAAAAATACTGAGCACTCCGATATGTCAAAGCAAAACTCGTTCATTACCTTCAAGAATCTGTAGCGTGCAAGCCGTTGCAGCTTAGCCCCAGCTGATCCTTCCACAGGTTTCTGGGGGTGACAAAAAAACAGAAGTTAGGAAGACACGTGTAAACTCTTAACTATGACAAACCAACCAAACTTAGTTAAAGCCCATATAAGCTATTCCTCTTGATTGATTAGGCGGAGGACATAGTGAAGGATGCAAACATGCCCTCTACACCAGCTCTGGGAGAAGACAATAATTGGATTCTTGAACAAATAAAGCAGTGGCTAAGTAGTCAACAATCGTCCCTCTGCCTATTAATGACCAAAGTGACTATCTTCGAGGGGTTCAATGCCTATGCACCAGGCTTAAATTCAAATACGTGATGGCAGCCATCTCACCCAGCCACAATGAGAAAGAGGAGGAATCTGCCTGTTACCTGCACACTATGGATAGCATCTACACTACCGTCCATGCAGCACATCCCAAACGGAAGCCAAATAAAACTGAAGCCCAGCTAGAGTGGTGGTGCCAGAATTCTATCTTCGAAGTTCAAAGCCTTGATTCGAACCTCCTGCTCTCTGGACTCACAATTTTTCAAGGCAGAGGTGCTCTCCAAGCGGATGAGCTACTTAAAAATTTATCGGTTGAAACATGGAAACTCCGAATGAGCCTTATAATGCAGAGAAATCTTAACTTTTCAAAGACCCTTCATTCTTACATTCATTCTTCGTTCATATTATCCCACTTAATATCCTATTACATCTTCCCCGTCTGCTGTTCGTAACACAGCTGCAAGTGCTAGAAATAACCTGCGCCCCCGAGTTAATGAAGATTTATGTGCACTACATAAAAGTTCGCATACGTGCCTTCTTGTAGAAACTAGGTATAGCCCCTGCTTCTACACTCTTCTGTTGACGCTCTCTGAAAGCCTCGTGGAGAATCCTCTTCGTTTCCATCTCTGCACATAGAAACTCACATCTAGTTGTTACAACTTGAAAAAACAAACAACGGATAACAGTGTTGAGTCTCCGACATCAAAAAGTCGATCCTAATGTAACCACCGACCACACGGCTCCTTAGAATCACAATCAGAGCCATAGAGGCAGGCCCACACATTTTAAGTATATGTAGCGGACAACACCATTCTAAATACAGATATAGATGATTATACTCACAAAAACTGAAAAGCATTACTTATAAGAGCTTGTAGCACTCACGACAAGATAGGTATAAAAATGTTGATTTTCTCTGGTACAAAAGTGGCGATTTGAGTAGATCGCTACATTTATACCAGACAAAATCAAAATTTAGAATACAAATATCAAACTAGTGTACTGAAGCAGGTTGACACGCAATGTCGCTAATACTGATATATGAACATCGTCCAACTTATGGCATCGAAAGTTGATATCCTCCCACCTGTTAATGCTTCCGAACCTAGGCCGGCCCCCGATCCCACGTACTTTCGCAGCTGTTCCGCCCACAACATTGTAGAAGCTGGAGGACTTTTATCAGAACTATCCCCATTGCCGTGCCTGGAACCGCCGTGTGACGACATTGCTCCTCGACTCCTCTCTTAATTGAATAAAATTAAGAACTTCCTTTCGCTCTAACGGCCATCAAAGGGCTAGAACTTCAAGAAGGAAGTTCATTGGATGTCAGATTCAGCAGACACGCTTCCATTTCTAGAACCGAGCGCGCTGAGGAAAATTTACTCTCACTAGAGCTCAAAAACACGCACCAGTGCATACGTTGAACTTCCATCTCAAAGAACATCTGACACATTGATGATTTACAAAGAATACACGATATAAATAGCCTCCAGTTGCCTCTTCGTCTGCTTCTTCGTCCTACTTCCCCTTACCCTCCTCGGCATGAATTTGTTGTAAATCCCCAAAAAAATAGATAAAAATGCCATTGAGTCACGAACATAATTGAACACCAACCGATCCACGCGCCACGTTTAGGGTTTTCCTTCGAAGCACGCTCCAACAACGAGGAACTGAAAATTTGGAATGTTGAAAACGAGTGCGAGGAAACGGACAGTCACTAGTGAAGCAGGCACCATGGAGAAAAAAGTCAACCCATCGATTACAGAAATACATACCTTGCAATCAAGCGCATGTACTGGACAGCACTGCCCGAAGCCTCGAACGATTTCGCGCATATCCGCAAGCACCTACTCACGCATTGTTTTCGTGAAATAGAGCTCTAGTCTCGAGTTTCTAGTCTGTGCCTGCAGTGGCCCGCCTTCCTCGCCCCGCGCTTCTGGGAGCTGTGCGTGCTCCTCCTCCCACTGTACCTTCCCACAGCTGACGAAACTTTCTACATTCCCCACTGCAATGAAATCCAGTGACTTACCGCTTACTCCCTGCAACACGACATCGATCCTGTTCAATTTTCGAGCGGCTTCAGAATAGTACAACCTAGCTCGATTTAGCTGGGACAGCTCCTCTCCAAAAACTGCACCACCTTCACGTTTACCATTCCGAAGTTTGAGAGATTTCCCATGAAAACCTATCGAACTTTTGCCTTCCAAAGTCGCTGCACTGACATACGAATAACGACGGAGATGCTATATTCCACAGAAAATACACGTGTTACCTTCTCTACAAGTCCGGTGACAATTGCCTACAGACTTGCCTACTACGTACTCGTCAATACTCTGTATTGCCCACAACAGAAGTAAACTGCAATACTCTTCCGACATATTCATTGGGAGAAGTCTATAATCTTCTCGAAAATGCTTTTAATATATGAATTACACAGTTGATAGGAAATGGTACTAATCCCATCTTGCTTAAAAATGAGGGGAAATAAACATCCATTTGTGTTATATATATTGAAGGAATATTGGAAGAATGAACATCTCAAATATATGAATTTATCTACTTTGAATATTAAAATACTTTAATAAATTCATTTCCTTTATGAATATAAAGGAAATGAATATTTTTAAAAATGGTCCAAAGATAAAAATTTTAGATAAATTTCAAATTTTACTTGATTTCATTGTAAATTTGAGGTTTCTTTGAAATTGATTAACGGAACATAATTATAAAGAATTATAATAAGATTTGGTTGATGTGAAGAAAATATAGTTTTAGATATTTGAGTTGAATATAATCTAGTATTTTTTGTCATATGTATATGTATTATCTCATCTTGTAATACATTTCAACATGAATTCAAAACATAAATGAAAGTATTTGTACTATAATTTCATTAGAAATATTTTCATTGCAATTCTATAAGAGTACTTTTTATGTATGATACAACTTTAATCATCGCTATCAAATGACATCGCAATGAAAGAATCACATCCTTGAACAAAGTATACAATAACATCATTGTACATCATGAAAAATTTTTACACCAGTAGATGTGATTCCGCAAGTGAACATTGCAATCCTGTTACGTTTCAAATATAATGTATGAATCTAAAGAATTTGGTTTCTAACTGTGGTACTAGCAATGCAGAATGCTGCAAAGTTTTGAACAAAATGTATATCTTTGCAACAATTGGGATCAGTGAAAATAAAGCAATAAATCACGTGACAACCGAGTTGAAATCAAGATACTTTTAATCCATGCACTCAATAATACGGCAACAATGAGTCAAAAATCAAGACGACATTATTCTGATAAAAACTAGCGAGTTGTAGCGACATTTGGATTGTATTTTGTTGATTAACGTGTATTGTCGACGCGGTCACATGAAATAAGTATATGTTTTGTGGCGAATGAAGCAATGGTAGAGATTTAGTATATATGGTTTAAACATTAAACCCCTAATTTTGAAGAAATCTCATAATGATGACTTGTTTTGCCTTATTTACGACATGGCTTCAAAATATATCACAAAGTGCACGTTTTGAAACTTACACGTGGAGATTATCACTCGCATCTTGTCTGTAGCCTCACACAATTCATTCGTGCATGAGATAAAATTTGAATTCAAAGTACTATGTTTTGAAGAATTTGGGACTAAAAGCATTGATTGCATCGTAAATGCAATAGCCTACGAGGTTGCGAAGAGCAATTTCAGTTCAAGAGTAAGTTGAAAGAAGATCGATTGGCCAAATTGTGAGTACCTCATAATGATGTCGTTTTGCTAAGTTAACATAAAAGTCTGAAACCAATGTGAACCTACTTCACTCAACAAGACGGTTAGTCCATCATGCAAATTTCTCCCAGCGTTCACTTTCAGTAATGCCACAAAACTTTCAGAGCTCAAAAAACTTAACGGTCAAAAACAGTTGGATCAATTAGCCATCGAAGACAATTAACATGTCTTTGATGGCTAATCGATCCATACATTGCTATTAGATGGACAGGGAAAGTGAAGTTGGTATGGATGCTTGAGAAACATGTTCTTCCAGCTTGAAACAACTCAATCTACCATCTTCTGTTGATCATTCAAGGTTATTAATCTCCCTCGCATCCTACTTAAATGATGTTGGATCCATCATTTATATTCCCAATCTTGATCACATCATTGTGGATCCAAACTGGCTCACAAATTCAGTTTTGGGTGACCTGATAACTATGTGTCAACATTTTCAAGGTGAAGAGTCCAATGGATGTTCGTAAAACATCAGTGCCATTTGAAGTCTGATTTGTTTCAAACTTAGGTGCTCGAGCAGTCGTGAAAAGGTCTAGCAATGTTAAACTCCGCGTTCACGTCTTGCCAAATTTCAAATTCGTTGATTTCTGGAAGTTCAATATTTGCCCATTTCTTTATGAGATCCAGTCCATCCACTACCCAAAATTTGAATTATCCCGAAGCGTTGAGGCACTAAAACAATGTGTTTTGTGTCGACTTCTCTAGCTTGACTTTTTCTTTCCTTTTAAAGCGGTGATCTTCGGTTTTGAAGTATGCTCTTACTCTTGCATTTGTATTGAGATGTTAGTTGCGTTAGGAGAATCTCCTTCTGTACTTGAATTTTATGTAGGCTCTCATAGTTTCGCGAATTCAATCATTTGCAAGACAATACTATGTCATTTTCACCACGTCATCTTACCTGTCATGTTCAGGTCATCATTGTAGCATATTGATAAGAGCATATATCCCAAGACGGACAAATTGCATCAATAGCCTTATCAAACGTCTTGAAGCCCTCTATAAGCAAACAAATTAAGTGACAAAAATACCAAAATAAATAAATAAATAAAATGAGCTTTAGTCAATTATTTCCCAAATATAATTCTAGTTTTAATCCATTACGTGGGAGCGCCATACAATGTTCAGTGATACAATTACAACAAAACAAGGTCTTGGTGGAACAAGACTGAAAACTCCAATACTTTGTTTCCAACATGAACCGAAAAGAGTGTCAATCACCAAGCAAGCAAGGTTTCATTTTGGAATCGAAGATGTAGAAGTGTTTGGTGAACCAAAGATGCTTTTGCCAAAACCATTAGAAATAAAATGTAAAAGAAAACTAATCCTCTTTTGTGTGTTGTACATTTAGAGTAAGACATCATAAATGAAAGCAATAAGATCTAGTGCTCATAACAAATCTCATTCTAACGTCAAAATACAAAATGATCTCAACAGTGTATGAATTGAATGCAACAAAAAAGTATGAACAACCAATGAGTATTTTGCTGAGTTTTTAATGTCAAACTGTGAGAGCAGCTCGAACAAAAATGATATTTTTGCCTCATTGCATCCGCCAAGATGATTAAGAGCCACTTTTTTGCGTGCACACTCCATTTGACGCACCATTAGTTCAAACAACGAGTCAATTCTAACTATCCCATTAAGAAGCTTGAAAAGCTTAATAATCTTGATATGAACTTGATAACATACAATTATATTGTCGGATTTTATCGGCTCGAAGAGTTTCAACGCACGATGAATGAAATATTCTTAGTTTTGTGATCAAATAAAAAAGTGCATAAATTTTTGTCAACGATGTTTACATTTATATAAAAATACAATGATTTAGATCCAAATAGATGAACAACGATAGTTTTTACAAAAGCAGTATTATCAAAAAAAATTGTTTGGCATATAATCACAAAGCATGATACTCACTTCACTTCAACAAGTGAAAGTTTTTGAAATGCGATGAATATAAATCTGATCAATATGGAAGTTTAAAGTTCGTTGTGGACCACAACTTAGCTCGCTTGCGCTTCTGTCCGATATTTTCTTCACGGCCTCATACTTTGCAAAATGATACAAAATGGATATAACTGGGCTTTGACGGTTCTCACATCGAGATTTTTAACCCAACTCAAGTTTTTGAGTGTCATTGATGGTATGTTGGGTTTCTTTGACAACAGTTCATTAACAAAATTCTTCAACAACAAATACGAAAGAATGTCAAACTCGGATTTTTAATGTTATGATGATATCACGCGAAAATCATTGGTGAGAAATGTGGCATGGGCAACGTCCAATGCCATATTTGAAGAGGTATGGTAATGTATATAAATGTTGATTATAACACTGACGTTGTGTTGTGATAACAAATCCATTATTGTTCAAGATTAGAACTTTAAGTGAATATAGGTGGCGATTGCACCTGATACAAAATGATAATAAATATGAATATACGATGATTCACATGAAGCTATTTAAAAATTCAATATTTAAAATATTGATGCAAAATGATTATAAATGTTGATAAATAACTGATATAATGTGATTCAAAGTGATGATGCAATGAATGATAATATAAAACAAAACATTTAAAATAAAAAATATTCAATATGATACATTTATTAAATTTCAGTACTAAATTAAACAAGAATATCAAAGTGAAAAAAATGACAACATTCAAAACTAAAAAAATGACATTTATGAGCAAATTTTCAATAAAGTATTATAAGAAATGTACAATAAAATAGATAAAAATCTCATCAACATATGATCACAGATAAGACAAATGACATATTCTTTAATGTGAAATGAGGAAGTATAATTTATTTATGAAATAATTTTTTATGATTATAAAAAATTGTGGAATCTTTTAACATTACAATTTGATTAAAGAAAAAATTACGATTGCTCAATTCAAATTTAATTGATCTGAGGTGAAAATTACAAATTGAACTATATTCAAAATTGCAATGTATATTGAATATGAAATTAAATTTTAGACATAAACAGAGTTTCGAATGATTTAAAAAACCTTTATAAAGTTTGTCAACAATCTCATTTGATTATCAAAAATTGCACTATTCACACTATTTTAGACTAAAAATTACATTGAAAGGGATAAATAATTTAAACATGCAAAGTAATAGTTAAAGTTCATACAAATTTAAACATGCAAGATCAAAGTTAATCAATACATATTTGATACAAAAGCTACAAAGTTAAAAAAATAATTTGATTTTATATACGTATTTTTAAGCAATTTACAATTAATTGAAATTTAATTTGATATTTTTTACTAGTTTTGTATATGTATTTGAAAAGATTGTAACGTGAAATTGACTTATGTTTTGTGAAATTTATGAAAGATATAAATTTATTTTTTTGTGATATTTAATCAAGATTAATGAATTTGAGCTAAAACTGACATGAAATTTATATGTCATAGTTTTAATAATCCAAAACAGAAAATTAAAACCAATGAAAAATATAGTAAATTAATTATAATAAAATTAAAGAAAATTATTTTATTTTCTTAATTTTAATTTTAAAACTTAAAGTTTTTTAATTATTTGAATAATATTTGTTCATCAAATTATATAAGTAAATTTAATTTCTAATAATATTAATTTCAACATTTTTGTACATCATAATTCATACAAATAAAAATTGTCAATCCTTAGATATTTTTATATTTTATGTGATATTTATTTTCTTATTTCGATATTATTAAAAATATTTTTTTTATCATCAGCCTGAAAGAAATAATATTTGAATAAGAAACTGCAATTTAACGTAAATTTTTGTATTATGTTTATTTTTTGCAATTACAATCCTTTGAATTGCATTTAAATTCAATTTTAAATCTCGGAAAATGTGATTCAATAATATCAAAAAAATTCATATGTCAATGACATGCTCATATTATTTTTTATATAATTAAATTTATCATATAATTTATTGATAATTTATATTATATTATTGCCTTTTCATCCTCTGCTATCAATATGAATTAATTTGAAATATTGGAAAATTAATACTATTACAAATTCACACAATAATTTTTATCAATCCTTATTCAATTTATGATTTAAAAGTTATCAAATATATTTTAAATAATAATCTTGTAAAAAATTTATGCTACTGCAATTTCCAAAATGTAAAATTTACTGCAATATGAATTTTAAGATTGATTAAAAAAAAATCTGCTATATATCATTAGCATACATCAAATACATATTTATCAACAATCTACCATTATATACACATGCAAAACTTTTATACAACTTATTAAATATTCATTAAATTTTAATGTTTTCAAAAAAATAGTATTTGGAAGTATAGTATGTTTTCTCATTTCAGGATTGATGACTCAATCTTAAATAAGCCTAAATTTCAAATTCTTTTTAAAATTATTAAACATGAGATGATAGTATTCAATGTTTATCAAATATTTTCATTTTCAACCTAACATATAAAAGTGAGACTTTTTTCATATTATAAGTATGCAAAATAGTTTTCAACTGATCCAAGTTATGGATTTCAAATTCGATTTTGCATAAGATAAGTTGTATCTATCACACTCACAATCATCATTATGAGCTTGAAAATGCACATGAATATACTTCAATTTTACCTCAATCACTAAAACGTAGAGAATTGTAAGAGCAATGTCCAAAAGTTGTTTTTAAATGTGATCAGCATAACTACACTACTCTCTATAACTACTGAGTTTTCTCCAAAATATGCACATCTTGAGAATAAATTTATTTGAATAATAAATTTTACTTCAATAACAACACTTTTGATAATCAATCAAACTTCCGGATACATTCTTCATTTCATTCATTATTATTGATGTACGTATATATTTGATCATATACATCTAAATCATTTAATTATATCAAAAAATTTACAAAGAGAATATTTAAACTCATTGTTTTCAGTTTACTTCTACATACTTTATCAAACAGCAATATTTACAATTCAAGTTCATAACTTATAAACCGCAAGACAAAGTTTTCAACGATAATGCCAAGTAAATAGTCATATATCTTGATAACTATCAAAAATCTGTGAAAGTCAAATATCATAGTATTGATTTTAAATGAAATAGATGTTTCTTTAATTTTAAATTGAATTTTTGAGATGTTTATGGTGAAAAGTGAACTAATCTGTCTTGAAATCCGATTTTATTTAAAAGAATAATAAAGCAATGTATTTTGAATATGTACTGCCAGATTTTGATTTCAAGTATTTTTTGCCTTAATTGATTTTCTTAGACAAATCTAACAATATATCTTATCTTATGTAAAAAAATAAAGCGTTGAAAAAGTTGAAGCAAGACAAAATATAACTATTAAATAATCTATGACTATAAATTTAATGTGGAAAGTAATTAATTACGTCATGATCAACTGTCATAATCAATCATTTATTTTTGAGTTAAAAATTTTTATTTGCTAAGTATATTAACCTGTTATAAGTTTTCACCCCATACTTAAAGAATGAAACTTTTCAACTACTTCTGCAATTTGGCTGTAACCGGCTTTCCACATTATCGGTGCATTTCAAAGATGTAAGACATTTTATCATGTGCTTGATATTGGAAAGTTCAACTCACTTAAATGCTTTGAACGTCTGACTTACAATTGATTTCTCAAAAAAGGGGTCTGTCGTTAAAAAAGAAAAAAACAAGTCAAGTCTTGTAGACATATATTTTTTCACTGCTTTTGAAAAGGTCCTCCTTATATTTTCCATGTTACGACAACTTTTCTCAGTACCATGGTTGGCTATACACGCCTTGGATATTAGATTTGCAGTCACATCACGGACTATCATAGTCATACAATAGACGTAAAGGCAAAAGTGTTTCTAAGACTTTGAATTTTTTGATATGTCTACTCAAGTCCCATAGATGTGAAACACTACGGAGACTGTAAGCAATTTACGTTTAAGTTAACGATTCCTTGATCAGAGGCCGACAAAAGTAGAGTTTTCTGGGAATTGTTATGGAATTTCTTGTTGTTTATTCTCTCACAATCAGTTCAAATAACGAGATCTATCCATGACATTTTATTTCATGGCCTCCTTTGCAAAATCATAGCAAGATTGGTTCACGTTAAGTGTGATGCAAGCGGCACCACGGTATTAACATTTTCGTTCCTGCTTGGACTCACCAGTTTTTAATTGAGATTCTAAAATGCAGGAATGAAGTTTGTTGGTGTTAAAACGACAACCATACAGCATAAAATCATACGTGTAGACAGACAAAAAGTTTTTAATCTTATCATCCACTAGATGATTCCCAACTGTGAAAGATTATCATCCTCAGCGTTGGAAGTAGCTATTCACCCACGATTTCAGCATATGATTCTCCAAGATCGGCCCCAAATGTCACATTCTACTCTTTGGACTGGACCGTGACAAGAGCTTTCACTCTAAAATGTCGCTCTCACTCTCATATCGCACCTCATAGCATTAAATTTTCCTTTAAAAATTTTTTCTTTAAGGAATGTGCCGTGACATACTGTAAAAAATATCCAGACATATCCAGCGTGACGTACTATGCAGCGTACTAATATTTTTTCGAATATACCAGACCACGCTTGAACACAACCTACATCGTTTAGCTATCGAATGAAAGTCTATCTTAAGGCTTTCAAACAGTGATTATATAAAAGTCAGTAATTTTGTGCAGTGTAGAAGCGAAACGAATCGTCTTGAGCTAGAATGCTACTGCTCAACTGAAATAAATATACTACCACTAGATTTTGTAGAATAATAATAAAAAGTATCGGTTTTAATTGAATTTAATATCGATTCAGGATGCTCAACTATGTTAGTACACGTTTAGTAAGGAGTACGATTTAGAGAAGGCTAGTGGTTCAAAATGTTTCATGACACCGACCGTATTTTTAACGTAGCCTAGAAAATTGCAATTGTAAAAACCAACACCCTAACGCAAATGTGCAAATGACGATTCTTATCAGGTCACGGCAGACTGGAAAATCCTAAAGAAACTGACGTTTCAGGCTGTGATAGCTCTTTTCTCCTCATGGCGATAACACTTGAAATTCTGACATGTTTTGCTGTAAGTTTTATGGTACATGTGATTTGCGGGAAATTTGTAAGTGGATGTCGTTCAATCTCCGAACGACAGTTGCAAGCACTACTTGTATTTAGAGGATGGTGGAAGAAACGGCGGGCTGAGTAATGTATGCAGGGGATGCAGGTCGTCTTACCACGGCAGCATGACCAGTGCTTTCACAATGTTGGGACTGTCGGTTGATGGCGCCCGGTATCTGAGGTGCCTTTGAGGAGAATCGGCGGAGGACTCGGTCTTGATGCTGCCTCTGGAAAAGGCACGTGCGCAGTACAGTCTTGTGCTGTGCTGTGCACGAAAAATGTCATCGATGATGGTTCCTGTGACAGGTTCCATCGATGGCATTACTCGGTCCGAAAACTTTCTAAAGACTCTGCAGTGTCATTGCCGAGTTTTGGATTGCGACCTCTTCACAGAGCGTCGTTCGGATTTGAGCGATGTCGTTGTCAGTAGCACCTTTGTTGTACCACTGATCGATCGTTCTAATTGTCACGATGATTCAGGCAAGATGGAGTCTAGCCACTGGCCCCATCATCGTGCTCGGTGGAGTCCTCACGGCGACGACTACTGCCTCTTTGCTATGGGAGGTATAATTCAATCTTCTATTTTGGACATTCTGGAATTCAGGATGAGACTGGAGTTTAAATTGGGGAGCAGCGAATGAACACATTGCTACTGTCGGAAGTTCGTAATTACTACTCTATAATATGCAGGAGATCTTCTTTTGCCAATTATGCACATTTTAATCTTTCAGGAACAACTGACTCCTGTCTGGCAGCTAGCTTTGATACTCGAGAGTTTTGAGTACTGGACCTGTCTCAGACACTGAAGCTAGCTGACAGACCGGAGAAGCCACAGAGAGCAGAGAGCCAGACCATTCTGCAATCCCGAATTCCTCGCTTTTCCCCCTATAATACCCGACTCCAGCACGCACTCTCTTGATCCAATTCAAATCATGTCTTTGCTTTATCATTCTTTCTTCTGGAGAGAACCTCTGGAATTGATTACATTTCGATATGCGAGTGTTTCCCTCCCTACTATTGCTTTCCTTAGAAGATGTAAAAAAACGATTTTGATGACGGTGTTCCTTTGATTTCACAGAAAATATAAAGAAGTTGTAGAGAGGAGGAACACAGGAACGAGAAAGCAGAGCAATGCTGGGATGTTTCGCATGGTGAAGAAGAGCGGACCAAGGCCTTCAAGTCCCGAGATGGAGTTCGCTCGAATAATTCTCGGGGGTGGAACAATGAGGACTTTCGCCTGGCAACTCTGGGTCGCCATCGTCCTCTGTACAGCGGCAATGTGTGTTCCAGCTACGACTGCTTTGACGAGTACTGGTCGTAGGATACTTCAATACAGCCAGCACGATCCAATCGGCCGATTAGAAGTGCAGATTCTGATAGAATTCAAAACGTCTGTCACCAGCGATCCAAACAAGGTCCTCGTGGGATGGAACTCGAATGATCCTCACCCTTGTGGTTGGCGAGGTGTGGCCTGCGATCCCATGAATATAATTCCGGCCGTGATAGCGCTGGAGATACCGGATGCGCAACTGGAAGGGGTGATCCCTGCTGCGCTTGCCGGTCTGAATTTCCTCCAGCGCCTCGATCTCTCAGGGAATCGACTCGGAGGCACAATTCCTCGCGCAGTTGGAAATCTGACTCAGCTGTCTTTCTTATCTCTCTCTTCAAATAATCTGACTGGAGAAATTCCTTCTGAGATCGGACAATTGTCTCGTCTGCAGATTCTTCAGCTCGACAATAACAATTTTGTGGGGGGGATTCCAGCCTCAATTGGTAGAGCTTCGGAACTCCAATCCTTGGATCTGGGAGATAATAACCTCGGAGGAAGCATTCCATCGCAGCTGTCAAACTGTTCCAAGCTCTTGAGGCTGGGCCTTCAGCGCAATCAGTTTATCGGAGACATTCCGGCTTCTTTGAGCCTACTACAAAACCTTCAGGTTTTGAACCTGCACGATAACCATTTGACGGGAGAGATTCCGTCTGAACTCGGTGGCCTCCAGCAACTCAAAGTATTCAATCTGGCACACAACAACCTCTCGGGCCTCATACCTGCATCACTGGGTCAATTGTCGTCGTTGAGAGTCATAGCCCTCGGGGATAACACCTTCGACGTTCAGGAGGTGCCGTCGTGGTTGAGCTCTCTTCACAACCTGGTTGAGCTTCACCTCTTCCTCATGAATCTCAAAGGTGATATCATGCCGCTTCTCGTCAACCTTCCACAATTGGAGGTCATAGATTGTTGGGGAAATGCGCTCACAGGCACCATCCCGCCTGAAGTGGGCAACTTGAGGAATCTCACCAGCTTTGATTTGACCGCTAACCCATTGATAGGAGGAATCCCGGACGAGATTGGGTTGCTGACCAAGTTGAGGGGCTTGCATTTATGGGGCACGGGCATTGGAGGCCAATTTCCAGCTACCATGGGAAACATGTCTTCCCTGCTGGAGATTGTGGTGGAACAGGCTGGAGTCCGAGGTCCCGTGCCTCCAGAATTCGGTCGGCTCAAGAACATGCGACGTCTGTGCATACCCTACAATAGCCTCGAGGGGCCTCTCCCCATTGAGCTGAGCAACCTGACGAACTTGATGCACATCAGGGCGCAAGGAAATCTGTTCACGGGTAAACTGTTAGTCGACTTTTCTAAAATGCCGATGTTGAACCGCATGGATTTATCGGATAACCAGTTGGAGGGAGCTCTTCCTACCTCGATGGTCAACTGCCCACTTTATCTGCTGAATCTCTCCTCGAATCATTTCCAAGGACCGATCCCTGCATTGTACGGCAACTTGAGCAGTCTGCAAATGCTGTATCTGGACAAGAACAGACTGACCGGAAGCTTGCCTGTCGAGCTGACGAGACCGAAGATGCTGGGAGATATAAGGGTAGCCTCAAACTTCCTCTCGGGCCCCATCCCGCAGTCCATAGGTCGTCTGCAATGGCTCTACTACCTCCACTTGCAAGACAACCGCCTGACAGGAGAAATTCCGCCAAGCTTGAGCCAGTGCATAATGTTGGTGGACCTCAATTTAGCCAGTAACTACCTCACAGGTCCAATTGCTGGGAAAGGATTCGGAAACTTCTCGGAGTCGCTCACTCGGCTCATCCTCTCGAACAATCTGTTGACTGGGATCCTTCCGCCTGAGCTGGGATACCTTCAGAAGCTCCTGGTGTTGGATCTCTCGGGTAACCATTTCTCCGGGACAATCCCGGCTACTCTTAGTCTGGACAGGGCATTGCAGGTGATCGATCTGTCGCACAACAATCTCCAAGGTCAGATTCCCAAGGTTCTGGGGCAGCTTCAAGACCTCACCTCTGTGGACTTCTCGAGCAATAATTTGACAGGTTCCATTCCAGACACGGGGATCTTTTTGAAAGTGCCCGCGTCAGCGTACTCTGGCAATCCGAATTTGTGCGGGGCAATTTTGTCGAAGAAATGTGCAGACATGCCGACGACTGCCTGCAGCGGAATTCAGTGCAGGAGGGTGTGGATCCCAATCGTAGCCACCGTGCCTTCCGCAATAATCTTGGGTGTGGCCGTGTACCTGTGGTGGCTCATCCTTTTCTCCGGTCGTTTCAAACCAGAATCATCGACAGTGAAGATGCACTTCGGCCCCAGGGTGCCGAGGAAATTCACCGTCCAGGATCTCGACGCGGCGACCAATGGGTTCAACTCTGATAATGTTCTCGGAACGGGAGCCAGGAGCACCGTGTACAGGGGCAGGTTAGCTTCGGGGAGTGCAGCAGAAGGCATCACCATCGCCTTGAAGGTCCTGACGTTGGGACACCGTCATGATGCTAAAGCTATGGCGGAGCTTTCCGGCGAGGTGCAGACTCTCCTGAAGCTCAAACACATCAACATTGTGAACCTTCTCGGCTTCTGTTGCCACGAGAAGATGATGGCCCTCATTCTGGAGTACATGCCCAATGGTTCTCTGCACGATCACCTGTACAAGAATCCCAGGAACCCACTCAGCTGGGAAGTCAGATTGGACATCGCTCTCGGTGTTGCAAACGGGATGGTGCACCTTCATGAGGAAGCCAGTGAACCAGTGATTCATTGCGATCTGAAGCCCAGCAACATTCTTCTGGACAAGGACTTCCAAGCTCGAATTAGTGACTTCGGCATTTCAAGACTGACGGATTGGGGCCAAGAGGAACTCTCCGTTTCCTCCCTCAATGGCACGAGGGGATACATCCCACCAGGTGAATTCCAGATCCTTGTCAACAAATTTCGTCCTTCTTGCCCCGTGCTTTCTTTATTTCGATCTGATCCACGATGAGCATGCAAATTCCATCCTTCATGTGATTTCGAATGGTTTTCTGCTTTTTGCTCCGCTATTTTTACAAGGCTGCATGCATTCCACCAAATACGTCATTTGACGTCCGAGCCCTCTCTGTCAGTGACAGTATTATCGAGTGCCAAAGTACATTGCTGGAATATCGTAGGATGCAGAATATTGACCGACTTGGACAGACCCTCAATTATGGTTGAACAATTATGGTTTCATCTGGTTTCATCCATAATTGTTCAACCTCCACACGAAGAAGGTTTTAGCTCATTGGCATAAGCAGAATTTGTCGTGTGAATGGGCACGGTTCGTGTATATATTGAGAGGAGATGTTAGATAATTTTCCTTCCTGCTTGTGTAGGAAGACGTATATACATAGACTAGTAAGTACTGATGGATATATGAGTGAGCAAAAGGCCCGAATAGATGAAAGCAAGGAGAGATACAAAATGCGAAGTGTTCATGAAGCTTTCTGTGTGGTGTCAATTTTATCAGAATATGCGATGTCGCCGAAGGTTTCGACGAAAGGGGATGTGTACAGCTATGGCGTGGTTCTGTTAGAAATGTTGACGGGGAAGCAGCCTCTGAACAAGGAGTTTTTAGACGAAGGTCATGTACATAGTGGAATCGTGGGATGGGTGGCGGAGAAGACTTCTGATGACAGCAATTTTAAGGAGATATTGGACCCTACACTTTTAGAAAACGCGAGTGAGATTAGTTTAAAGCAGATGGGAATGGTGCTAATAATTGCGAAAACGTGCACCCTAGAGATTCCCAGGAATCGGCCGAAAATGAGAGACGTGGCGGAAGCGCTCCTGAAAATCACGAGAAAACGCTAACCTTCGCTCCACGCCAAATCTAGCCTAGCTAGGAAATTGTTGCTTGCATTCACTGGCAACAACTAGACACCTTAGAGAAATAAACGTAGAAATTTCCTGTGCAGATTCATTGGACCTCCTTGTTATTCAGCTCTCACTCAATAGTACGTTCTCTCCGTAGCTCAACCATTATTGGTCATAGTTCTATCCTCTTTTTTGATGTTGCATGTACACCTCATGTACATATGAATCTATTATTGAGTTGTACCCTCGGAAAAGAGCAGATTGTACAACTATGCATGTTAACATTTCCTGGCTGTGAGCGGTGAGATAGAAAATGTTACTCTACATTTATGCATATTTTATTTTTTGGCACTAGCCAGACCTTAAAAAAACTTGCTGTTTGAATACCATTCAACAGATGTTAAATTAATTTTTGTCAGTATTACGTTTTTTTTAAAATGTTGTACATTTTATGGAATATTACATGATGTATTAGATGTCTTGTCGGGTGAGGTACTATTTTCACAGGATATACCAGCCTCTCGTAATTTTTTCTCTTGATGATTTTCCTTCGCCTTTTTAACCCTTTTTAACCATTTTTAACTTGTTCCCTTTTATTGCTAAGTATTCCTTTGACGTGTAAACATGCAGTGTGATGTACTCATGTAGTTGTGAGTGAAATTGATACTAAGAATATGAAGGTATTTTAGGGACAGTCTACCTTGTGCTGCAGCAGTACTCATGATCCAGTGGGCTGACCTACGAATATAACCATATGATACACGTCCAAGATTTCAATCACCATCTAATTCAGTCCTTCGTTATTCCCAAGCCTCCTACGGGCGAAGTCACCTCGCCATTCTGAAGTACTGAAAAGTAACAACTAGAGTCACAATAATCAAATGATTATCTCTTCGAGCATCTTGGTAACTTGGGTTGGAGAGAGCAAGACTTCCGAGAGGGTATGCCAGCACTGGAAATTTGTATATATAAATTACATCAATTATGTTTAAGTAACAGGAATAAAATAACAATCATTTTACAAGAGTAGAAACGATGGTTTTAGTTGGAATGGAGTTCATTTCAACAAAAAAATTTAGTTTTCAATCACTAAGTTTATTCAAACACACTTATTCAATTATTGCAAACATGCAATTTAGTGCACTTAAAATGACACGCAAACAAGACATTTTGTAAGACATTATACGACATAAATAAAAAACCTAGATTTGTAAAATTTACACCAATTTTTAAAAATATCACTTGAATTTATAAATAATATTTTTCCAGTAGAGCTTTATATTTTGGACAATGGACTTGACGATGAAATTATTTAAAAATGATTAAGCTTTATCCAAATTTTTTCAAAATTTCTGAATTAATATATTAAAAAATATTAAGAAAGATTTTCCTTTTTTATTGCATAATAGAACTTGATCGTCAAAATCATGTACAGAAGTTTTTCAAAATCTTGGAATGATAAGTTGATCTATTTAGAAATATATATTTTAAAAAACGCACAGTTGTATCACAAGTTTGTAAATTTGAATATACATAACAACAGCTTACAAATTTTACAAGTTTAAACAGCGAAGCTGATGGTAGCTATATCCACGTCTTTCACAACAACGAAATCCTGCAGCCAAACATTGACGAATAAAAAAATTATCTCGTGACATAACGTGCTGTATTCATTTCCCGAATGCTCCCGGGAGGCAGGCTCTCGATCAGTGAACACAATCTGTTTTCAGGAACATCTTCATGAAACAATACCCGGAAGTAGTGTGGTGACATCTACGGCTGTTATGATAGACTATTACCTTACAGGTCACTCTGAAAAGTGGGTAATGAATCCGAACCGAGAAAAAGATACTGGCCTGGAAAAGAAAATCCACGACATTACGTGGCCCCTGTCACAGATGTTTTTAGATACTGTATGTGCCACGGAGAGAAACGGTGTAGAGGCAAGAGGGGGAACCGATCCGTATGTGATAACTCAGGACTCCACAAATATCTCCCTGTAATTGGGCTTGCCAAGTTCTCATAGCAGAAGTTAAAAAGGGGAGAAGGTTCCAGTCCCTCCTCAGATGCCGGTACGTTGATTACACGGGACAAAAGCTGCTGTTGAACGGTGGTCGGGTCCATTGAAGCTGAAAGTTGCAGGAATAAGTGACACTGCTTTCAACTTGTGAATTTCTCATAATGAAGGACAACTTTCAATGCCAACAGAGTTGAATTGCTGATGTGTACGTCAATTCTCTAGACACTTTCACATTTTATTCAAAGTTGGGAGCTGTCTGCTTCGTCCTCTATATCATCACACCATTCTGCTGTACTCGAAAACCAATTCCAACTTTAGGCAACTTCCTTCAGTTTTAACCCACTTTTGGACGGTGCATTTATCATGACTTTTAGACAGGCAGTTACACGAGTCATCTATTCACAAGACTGTAACCATTTAAGCTAAGGCGATAGGGCTAAGCTTTGGCTTAAAGCTCAAAGCTTCAACCTTGGATACCACCTTCTGCTGTGGACAGGCTTTGGGAACTACCGGTCTTTGATCTGCTAGTTGCATATGTACAACCTTTCCCTTCCTTCCTGACTCCTCCTGTTGTGTCTGGTTTCCCTACATATATCTCTTGGTTCCTTCTTACAACTGGAAGGAAACTCGTATTGTACACGTGTTTACTACATCGATGTCAATCCACTACTGAGCAATATTTGCAGATCCTATCTTAGCTAGTGTCTTCTGATACCATTGCAGCTTGGAAAGCTGAGCTCGCTTGCTTCAACTTAAACCTTCGGCTAATATTAATATTATATAGAAATATAATATTATACGTTACGAATATAATATATTATTCTATATGTATATTTATAAATATAATATTACTATTACGAACATGCAGGAAAAATTAAACTCGAAATTGATCTAATACACTTGAGGAACTGAGTTACTGCATATGGTTCCAAGAATGAATCATGTGAATGAAGCTATATATAAGATTCCCTGAGTAGTTCGTCTGGTAGATCTTCACATATACTGTCCAGTTGGAACATATAGTAGCGAACATGATTTGAGCATCCTCATACAGAATCTCGCCCCGTGTGACGACGCTACGACAGACCTCGTTAGCAAGAAACTTTTCCCGGGACCTGGCAGTTAAAAAGAGGAGATTATGAACTCGGCCACGTAAAAGCTGGCTTAGGTGGCAGATTGGAGGTCACTTGTTGAACGGGTGGAATGTGATTTGACGGTCACGCTGGACGTCGAAGGAGAGAGGCACGATCCGAAAAGGAGGCATTCTCAGATCTACGTGGCAAAAGTATATTTCTCTCTTGCCTCGTGATCGTACAGACGGACGTGTCTGTCGATTGCTGGCTGATGAGATATTTGTTTAAGGCATTCCTTTCCTATGGACCAAAAGCAGCACCTCCTAGCACCAGTCATGTTCTAATGATGATTCTCTAGGTTATGTATGATGATGGACCGTAGTAAAACGAATAATGCATACATAAGTATGGTCATCCATACGGTTCCTCCATGGCTTGAAGTGAAATCTGAGTTGCACCATATGAGAAGATGGAAGGTGTTACCAGACAAATTAAGCGGAAATATACCAAATAATCTGATGATGAACACTTGAAAATCAATAATCTGACGATGTTCTCAACACGCACAATATAATACTATCAAAGGCCAGAGCCTTTCATAGTATTACAAAGTATTATAGCCTTTGATGATTACAAATGATATGATTTATTTCGAAAAAGTAAATATCTAAAAAAGATATATTGATCAACGATCAATACAGGAGGATCATATATCAAACACAAAACAACAATCTCACAGAAAGGAATATTGTTCATATGCAGTATACCCATTATAGGTTAATAGTAAAATGTTCCCTATAAAGATGTTGTCCAAGATGAGATGGATGCTACACGATGAAGTCATTTTAAGAAAATACACAATCTAACCTCAATGAAGAAAAGTCTAATGTTATTTAAAATCTGCTCCATCTCAAATTATGAAGCAAACATCTCATTCGACTAACTAAAACCAAGTATTTTTCCTCTCATAACCTATGCATCCGAATCAATGATCATCGTACCGAAAACTAACTCCCAGAAAACTCTTGTACCTACATGAACCTCCCCTACGATATATGCTTGACTTTTGTTTCTTCAGGAAGTCTGTGCAAAAAGTCAATTAATTAGACATAGATTTTGGTTTGCAATAACAAACATGCTAAAACGGAGACAATCCGATTTAAGCAATCCATCCGAGCAATGGAAAATTAAATACTCTAATTGATTTTGTGGAGATCAATCCAGAGCACGAGGGCAGACCAAAGAGGAGGCTTTTTGATATGTCCGGGAACATGGAGGAATACATGTGGCAGACCTAGTTCCCAATTAGGTCGAGATAAAGGGTAAAGTTATACCGACAACGTTACACAAACTTTATTCGATCTATTATTAAATTTGTAAAATGAAATATGCAGTACAAGGGCGTACTTGCAGAAGGGTTTAGCCACGTCCCTCTGGTAATCAGGAGAGTTACGATCTGAAGTCAAAGTCAACATGCCAAGGGTACAAAAGAGCCCAGAGGTTCAGGAACGAAAGGGATGTTACGAGACAACTCAGCCATCCAATAGGGGCGCAGATTCATGAACCATCCGTCCATACGCATCCATGGATGCGATGGCGGGCTCCTCTCCATCCATCCATGACATCAGATCACGACAGGAACTCCCGAAAAGGCTCCCAACGCAACGGTAGGTCCCAGCTCCCCTTGGCACTGTCCCGAACGGCCTTCCTTACGAGAAGCAGAGGGCCGAGTAACAGGAAGAGGGGGCGCGGGGGTGAGGCGGCAGAGGAGCAGCCGAGAGCGCCAGAAGGGAAGACGGGAAGCGCTGGAGATGATGACAGCAGCAGCAGCAGCAGCAGGAGTAGGCTGGCGCTGAGTGCCCTTGCTTCGTGCTCTCGGGAGGCGAGGTGGAGCTGATGCACCTGAATTGACTGGATTCAGGTGCGGTCCATGGCCCGTCGCGTCTGTCACGAGTGAATTGGAAAGTTGTAGCGCACTGTTGTTTTCAAGAAAGCTGAATGTAAAGCGCCGCACAGACGAACGAGACGAGACGAGACGAGACTGCAGTGGAGGATAGAGAATGGCGAGGTCAGGTGCAGGTCGGGGTTCATGTATCTGAGACGCCGTAGTGCCGGTCGGAGTCATGAATGTTTCAGATTGTCGCTTTTATTCTTGTGTGTCGAGGGAATTGAGATAGGCCAGAAAGTGTTTGGGTGTACAGGGAATTGAGGAGGCGGTGATTTTATGGAGGTTCCGAGGAGCGGATCAAGGCTGGGAGGAGAGGAGGACGGAGTTTAGTGAAGCAGGGGAGGACGAATGCGTGGGCGCTTGTGATTTTCTCCGAATTGCTCCAGGCTTAGGAACGGCACGAGGAGCAGGCGGAACTCGCGTGTGCGAGCGAGCTGATGAAGGAAATTGCGCCTTGTGTGGGGAGGTGGTAGAGTCCTAGTGATCGGAAATGAACTTATGCTGCACTAGTGGGAGTTGTAATTGGCAGACAACAGGGGGTAGTCACCATGTAGATGCAGTTCAGAGAACCGTCGTGGGGTGTAGTAGAGAATTGCAGCACGCTGATGGAATGTGTAGGCTCGTTAGCAGAGGATTACATCGACGTAGCAGTAGTGATGGGGGTCTTTCTTTCTCGGGGGAGGCAAAGGCAGCAAGATGGTCGTCGCATTTCGGGACTGTTCAGCCTTTGAATGCCTCGACTACCCCGAAATTCCCGATTCAAAAGTCTTGTCTTTCGAATTGTAGAGCTAGAATTCCGACGCTGTTGACTACTTGCTTTTTAGATAAGTTCAGAGTCCAACTGGTTTTACCTCTAGCTCTGTCGAGCTCGGGAAGGAAAAGGGAAAATGGAAGATGGACTAGCAGCAGGTCAGGCCCTCTCCCTGGACATGCCGGTATTTCAGCTCCCCGGAACCAAGCAAAAGGGAGAATAGGTGGCGTCGAATGCCGGGGAGTCGCTGTGATAGGAGAAGCAGTAGCGGCAGCAGCTGCGAGCACACGACCGAGCCATGCAGCAGCTTTGGCAACAGTTACGCAGCTTGCAGTTACTGCAGCTGCAGTTGTTTATGGGGCCTTCTTATCACCATACGCCCATGGTCTAATTGGGAAAAATGAAAATGTGGGCTGTCCTGGTACAGTCTCAATCTCTTCTGTCCTATCTTGGGAAACGCGTATCTTGTAGATGTTTTCGATTTGCGACAGTAATTTGTTTAAAATCTGAATCGGCTGGTCTACTCTTACTCTAATTCTGAAGGTTTAATTATCCATATTCAGCTTAGCCAAGACTTGTAGTCATCCACTATGGTCTTATTCGTACTTCCCCTATTGCTGCTTTCGAGGAAAAAACTGTAAGGTTTCTGGCTATAGAGAAATCCCAACTTTCGATCATACCTTATTGGGTATATCATGTTTATTTTTCTAACGAGGCATGTGTTCTATTTTTTTCAGCACCCCTTCTGTTCGATGGAGTGGATGTAACCGGCTACAAGATATTTGAGGAGCCTGAGGTGATGATACGAACAGCAATACAGTATTTCCTACTAAGAGAGTTGCCTTCAGCCCCATCTTGTTCCATGTCACTGTGACTAGTGCGGTGTGCAGAATTTCTGAATCTTTTTGTTAAATTTCAGGTTCAAAAGGCTATCATTTTTGCTAGAGAAGCCCACATAGGGCAGATGCGAAGGACTGGAGAGCCTTATATTACGCATTGTATCCACACCGCACGTATTTTGGCAGCTTTGGTTCCTTCCAAAGGCAAGAGGGTAAGTGTGCCCTCGGGAGCTATTATTCTTGCATTTGGTTCCTCACTTTTTTTTTTTTTGCTGTCTTGACAATAAATCAATGTTTTGTCTATGTAGTTTGAGGCCCACAACATGTCATTTTAATATTTCGAAGGTATTTTCACCTGTGTACAGGCTGTTCAGACTGTCGTTGCGGGGGTGCTGCATGATGTGGTCGATGATACAGGGCGTAATTTGAATGATGTGCGGGAGCACTTTGGGGATGATGTGGCAAAGCTAGTTGGAGGAGTTTCAAAATTAAGTCACATAAACCAGGTAATCCGGAGAATCACTTTGAGTCGAGCTGCATGTATTGCGGGGTATTGCAATGTCATGAGTCTAGCTTTGTATATGCCTGCTTTCATCATGATTTGACTCAGAGAAACAGTCCAATCTCAAGTAACAGTGGAAGAAGTGTTGCTTGTGCTTGAAGACTTTCTCAAGCACGGCAGCTCTTAGGTGTACCAGACGTAGTGTTTGGTGTTTGATGGATAACGTCCAAGTGAGAAGCTGAAGTAACAAAGATGACATGATGGACACGCCTATGAGGAAGCTGAATTTATATTACGATTTTGGTAGAATTGTAGTAGCTCAACAATAGAGGAAAGGGTTTGTCATCTCAAGCCTAGGCTGTAATACATGTTGTTATGAACAAGCCGTGGAATGTTTTTTCGATGGAGTTTCACATCGTCCACATCGTCCACTTTTTTTAACGGTAGGCATATTGCTAGGAAGTTTGTGGGCTTATCATGAATTAGGCTGGGGCGGCTGGAACGCATAGTATTTCCTTCGTATGCGTCTATGTTTCGACGTATGTTCAAATTATTGTACGAATGAACTGGTTCGATACTGGAATTTGAAACTGGTTCAAAATATCTTAGTATAGAGCAATTAACAATGAAAATTATTACAAATAAACTTGAGAGTGGTTTCGCAAAATACGCAGTTTAGAACGATCCATTTTATACCAGTCACTTAGGTTGACTTTCAGCTGTAGGCTTACTGTCAGATCGCTGGGGCACTCAATAGCTTGTTCCCGGCACGCTCCAACATAATGCAGTTCATCAGGTTTTCTTTGCTTCGAGAATAAACGTTTTGATCAGTTGTCTCTGATTAGTGCAGCTTTTGCGAAGGCATCGGAGAATTACTGCAGATCAAAATTCGACCGAATCGAGTGGCTTAAGCTCTGCAGAAGTACGAAACTCCATCTATCTGTTTGTAAACGTTGTAGCAATGTCTATGGCCCTGGTTGTACATAGGCTTCATATTAGACAGTCAAATGGAAAATTTCATACGCGGGAAGACCAGCACTGCGCCTGAGATCTGAGAACATCTGTGGCTTCTGAGTCCACAGGTGGATAGCTTGCGAGTGATGCTTCTAGGAATGATCAATGATCCTCGCGTTGTCCTCATCAAACTTGCAGATCGTCTGCACAATATGCGAACGATGTAAGCATACCTACTGAGTTACCAGCTGGGAAGTTTTTATTTTGAAAATTCCTAGATACAGCATTCACTTCCTTATTTGGGGATCAGATACGGATGTTGCGACAACGCTTTACATGACCCAGTGACGTTGGCCGTGTAGTTACGCTCTTCCACCATCGAAAGCGCATGCGGTAGCACAAGAAACTCTGGCAGTGTGGTGCTCATTGGCATCTAGGCTAGGGGTTTGGGCGGTCAAAGCTGAATTGGAAGATCTTTGTTTTGCAGTCCTGCAAGTAAGTTCCACGTTTTTCTCAATCACAACCACTTAGTCGTCACCTCACGAGGTGCTGCATGAAAGATTATGCCATGGCCTGCATTCAAATCCTTTAGCTGCCTCAGAATTTAGGTCTTAATCAGTGATTAGTGTTGTATAGCCAGTTTCCATCAAGAAGTTTTTTTTTTCACAACCGTTTACTTTCACAGCCGAAGGCTTTCCGAAGATTACGAGCTGCACTGGCTGCTATATGGAGTCCACACAAGGACTGGAGATACTTAAGACGGATGACGAAGAGGGCGAAACGGAGGGCACTACTGTATGGTGAACTTATGGATCAAGAGTTGGAACCTAAGCCTGATCCAGAGGATGAGGAGGAACTGACTATGAAGGTGATTAATGCTTGCAAAGTGCGAGCTAGCGTTTGTCTCGCAAGAAGAGCGCTGTCACTTGGCTTATGGAATACCTCTTTACTTACCCAGTTAGCGCTGAACCACATTAAGATCTGAATTTAGATACGTTCGTAGAGTACTCTTCAGAACTTGTCGAAAACAGGCATGAGGATTAAACCTCCTTCACGGATTTCCCATTTTTCAGGACCTTCTAGAAGCTGTTTTACCCTTTGACGTGTTGTTGGATCGGAGTCGACGAACATCTGGACTGAATTGCTCTGCCGTCTCAAAAGACGGGGTGAAGAAGAAAACGAAAGTAGTCCGAGATGCAGAAGTTGCCCTCGCTGCGTTGGGTTCTTGCGAGGAGGCCCTAGATAAGGAGTTACTTATTTCAACCTCGTAAGTTACTTCTTATCTCTATCTATCCTCAACAACTTTTAATGATGCTGAATGTTCCGTTATTTGGCTGGGTCCTTGACTTCTCATGTAATTTTGTTTTTTTCTGCATTTTTTGCAGATATGTGCCCGGTATGGAAGTCACTCTTTCTGGCCGTCTCAAGAGCTTGTACAGTACGCACTGCAAGGTATATTTCTTCGCGGAGCCCAACTGCTTGTTCATCCGCTTTGTGTCCAATCTTCTGAAGGCTAATTTCCTGTTGATGTGCCGTACAGATGAAGAGGAAGGGTGTAAGTTTGGACGAGGTTTACGACGCTCGGGCACTGAGAGTCGTTGTAGGAGATGGTAGCGGTAAGCTGCATGTTGCTGCCGTAGAAGGATGCTACAGTCTACTGAATGTTGTTCACAGGTAATTGTTATTTGGATATGAAGGCCAAGCTATGCGTCAACCTTTATGTTCTTTTGGCTCAGCTATGTTCAGTGAGTGTTTAGTTCCCTTTGGTTCCTACTGAACCAAGGAAATCAAACACTTTACTTGAATTCTAGGTTAAGTGCGAGTGTCTTCCTCCGCCCACTTGCGCCTATCTCATACTTCCTGGCACAACCCGAAGTTAGTTGTCGTCTTAAACAGGCAATCTGTTCTAGAGCGACTCGGTTTGGCAGCACATCTGTGGCGACCTACTTTGCCTCTCTTCTGCTGTCCTTTTACAACTATCGCGGATAAGATTTTTTTTTTCTTTTTGATATTTTTATTAATATATCATTCACGTGAGAATGGACATTCTACTTATGATTCTGTTTTGGGCATTTCTAACCCACATACTAGGCAGTATATTCCGTGAAACATATATGCTGTGAATTACGATCTGCCAAAACGGTTTTTATGGGTTCTCATTTATTTTAAAAGTTCCGCCGTCTGACAGAATCATACACTGCTTATATCTCAAGTATATACTTTGCTTCGGTTTCATGGCTCTAAGAAGCGTTATTGATAATGTGAAATAGGTTATGGACTCCAGTTGGTGGAGAGTTTGACGACTACGTCGTTAACCCCAAGCCCAGTGGATATCAGGTATTATGATTATCTGCGATGCTTGTTGACAAGTCTTTTGCCTCATATTCGGGCTTCATTTAGATAAAAATAATTGAATCGCGTTTCGTATGAGACAGAAAACAAAAATAGTTCCGTTTTTGTGAACCTGAGTTCCTGGCTGGTGGTCTCGATCTGTCCTGTCTCAGTTCTTTTCTTGTGAATGTGGTTGAAAAAACAGTAAAGTTCAGACGGATGCTTTCTGTTTTGCGACAAATTCAGTTGTTTTTGTTATTACTTTCTCTGAGAGTCTCGAGGGGTGAAACCAAGCAAGGAATAGGCAAGTGGACATAAAGTCTGCAAGTGTGCAACGAAATGCTCAAATTGTGATGTATTTGCCCTGATATGTACCGGAAGAATCTCATCCTGACAACATCAAAATCTTATTGTCATTTCTCCTTGTTTGTTCCAGTCGCTTCACACAGCTGTGAGAGGCCCAGACGGAGCACCTTTAGAAGTACAAATCAGGACTCAGGTGCACACTTGTCTTCTACACTCAAGCTTGTAGTTGGACTAAGAACGACCTTAGTGTTGCTTGGGCTATAAGAGACGCATGTTATCCTTATTGAAGTCCGGAAGCTTGGAATACAAATCCTTATGCTTACAGGTTTGCATGATTTGGGAAGTGAGGATAAGTTCTGGTGTACGAATTAGAAGGTGGTAGAACGAGCAATCAGTGTATTTATTTGTGGTACCTTGAACAGTCTTAAGGCAGCAAATTCTAACGTCAAAGATATGTTTTCTGTATCTTATGAAGGGAATGCATGAGTATGCAGAGTATGGTCACGCAGCACATTGGCTTTATAAAGAAGGTGACAGTGCCGTGAAATCAATGGATATGTTTGCTTCCACCCTCCCTTCTCCAGGAGCCGGTGATGAGAGTACATTATCTGATGAAGAAGAGTGTGCCTCTAATATAAATGGATACGGTAAAGAGTACAAACCGTCTCGCACTTGCGAGAGACTTCCTCCGAGGAACGTGCAGTTAGGTCATCCCGCTCTAAGGATCGAGAATGGAAGGCTCCTCGCTGCTGTTATTGTCAGGTACATATTTTCTTGCTGTTCAGCGAGTAACGTCAACTAAAAACTCACCAAAATATACTGGACTTTTTAAGTTTGCAAAACTTCTCATATTTTCAGCTCGAAAGCTGCTGCTACTCATTTTGTTTTCCCCTCACTAATATCACTACCGGATCAAAATTGTTGTGAAGTACTGCATGTTCCAACTAGTTAGTTATTAATGACATTACAAATAACGTGAACAGAGTGGACGATGATGGACGCGAGCTGTTGGTCGCGGTTAGTTTTTCATTGCGTGCAAGGGAAGCTGTCGCTGCCGGCAGAGCGCGAAACCAGAGGAGAAGATGGGAAGCTTATGCTGAGCTGTATAAAAAGGTAGTGATCGACTTACAGATTGGCAGAACAGTTGAAAGCCAATTTATCATCTTACGTGATCTGTGGTTTTGTGGTGTTAGTACTCTCGTCTACTGATTGGCTGTTTTGGCCTGTGAACAAGTTTAATCGGGATAGAAAACCTAAATTTTTTTTGCTTGCTTAGATTGCGCATCAAAGGAACTTAGTTGAAAGTGTAAACTCGGATGAATATCTACGATTTTCGGCCAGGTCAGGATTCGAAGTAGCTCATTCGTTTGGATGTTTCCATTGTTAACTTAGTTGTGAGCACTCATCTGCTGATTCATCATCGATATACTGCAGGTTTCAGATCAGTGGTGGTTTGCTCCAGGTCATGGTGATTGGAGTACCTGTTTGGAGAAATATACCTTGTGCTCTGATGGGATGTACCATAAGGTCAGTATATTGTCGTATATATTCTGATGATAAATATTATCTAGGTTACACTAGACAGCCCCATTCCGATTTGGACATTCACAGTTGGTGAATTTGACTTAGGAAAGAGGGCTACCTGGTATAATAAGATCGCTTGTTAGCTCTCGAAGGGATCAAAGCTAACATTTACAGAGGTTGACAGAAACGAGACATGGAGAGTTGTTGACAGGGAATGAGAGACAGGGATCTTGTCTAATTGAAGTTAAGAGTCGTGTCTAAAATGGATTCGCCTTTTCCTGGTGTCCTACTTACACTGCTAGTTTGTGATACATGGTCTTTATTTGAAGCCTCATTTGTGCTCTTTGTGGTTTCAGCAAGATCAATTTGAGAGAGCTTTGCCAACATTCATCCAACTTTTGGACTTGAATCAACGCGAAGAAGACGATTACAGGGAAGTGATGTCAATCGTCCAGGCTGGGGGAGAAGTAGAGGTGGAATCAGCCGAATCAACCGAAGACGACGAAAAGCCCTTGTTCAGCAGCGGGTTCGAGCCTGGAGTATCTGTCTCTCGCATAAATAACAAGGTGAGACAGTTTGATGATGTCTTCAGCTGTAGCTCGTGCAGTTGTATCTCGACCTTGACGCTCCTTTTTCTATTTACTTTTTATTGTCAGTCTCAAATCTCCGTATAGAAGGGCAGGATTCTGGGTATATGCAAGAGCGCAAGTACCAACATGTTTAGGCAGTAATACTTCCTATTCGATGAGAAGTTAGAGGAAATAGTGTCTCAAATGTATTATTTCTTACAAGATGACACGCGTGTCGCACTCGCACTTCATGTTACCAACTTTTTGTACGTAACAGGTGAGATTGCTTAGATCAATGCTCCAGTGGGAGCAGGAGCTCAGACACGAGGCTGCCCTGGATGGTACTGTCACAGTCTTGAACCCCGACCATCCCAATTCTGCGGCACTTACGGAAGTGCTGGTCATTCGCTGGCCGGATGGTGAAATAATGCGAATGCCAGCTGGCAGCACCGCTTCAGATGCCGCAAGGCGTATGGGTATGGATGGCAATCTGGTGTATATCAACAGCCAAGTCGCCCTGCCACACATGAAGCTGAAAGATGGAGATCTTTTGGAGATACGATGATTGCGGTTTCTGATCATATCTTTAATGATCTTATGAGTCTCAGAGGACTTCGAGAGAGTGTGGAAATATATACTGGCCCTCTACACATTCTGCAAAATCTCCCTGGATGGAGGTCCTTGAAGAACATTGTTCTTAAGCCGTATTTGACATTGTTCAAGGATGTAGGTTATTGAAATAGTGGTGTATTTTTTAGACCAATCAATTCGCCGATTTTATGGAGCTATCTGCGACGGAATAGTGGGAAATTCTAGCCTAGTCTAAGCATCATTATTCATAGTCGTGCCGGTATCTATGTGCTAGGGGAACAGAAGAGGTGTACTCCACGCAACTTGTGAATTAGCTCTTCTGTCAATCTTTGTTGTAGATACAGTGTAGAATTAAACATGACAGAAGTAGTTTGTAAAAACGTTTTCTTGGAACTTTCGAGATGCACAGGTAGTTCCATGCCGAGTCCGGACTTACCTTCCGGGACTTGGTTGTAATTTGTTACAGTAAATTTCTTAATTAGACTTGCAAGCAAGTTTGTTTGCGCATAATGCCCCGAAATTGCCATGTAGCCTTTCACGTAAATTACTCGACAATTGGATGGTCACTGTGGTATTTGGCATCACATGTAATCGTGAGATGACCGGATACGTCGTGACAGAGTTTTTACCACATGATGAGCCTGCCATTGTCTACGGAGCTGTTTCGTTAAAAGTGCTCGTTGCCCATAAACATGTCTTGAAGATAACCAGGGAACCTTGCATTGAGAATTTACATGTACTGGGGAGGAGCCCGTGAAAAACTTGTATGTCAGTTCTTTGTTACATGCCAGGCCACTTAGCCCTACTTACTAACCACTACCACCGTACCTCCTATCGAGACCTCTGAAAGCTAGTAGTCCCTGAGAAGGTTGTTCGTTCTGATGGTAAATTTTCAACTTCGATTTGCAAAGCATAGAAACCTCAGCGGTGGAGTTTGGAAGTTGTCGTCTACCACGGTGAGTGTAAACTCCTGGCTGACGCACGAATATTTTAGTCTCTTTCATTGATTGAAAAATAAAATCCAACTCATGAAATTCATAAGTTTTCGACAGGTCTGGGACCCATTCGCCGTCCAGATTTGACTTACGGGAAACTGGCTCACCGATCTAATTCATCCAGGTCGTTCCACCAGGTGAGCAAGCTTCGCTCGACCATTTGCTTCCATCAACTGAGCCTGCACGAGAGTCTTGCTGCTGTCCAGACGCGTGAAGGAAAGTAGCAACTCATTTCTCGATATGTAATCACACATACTGCACTATTGGTCAATTCTAACAATCGGTTTCGATGTCTATGCACCGAACCCTTATTAGATTTATACACATCCAAGAACCACTTTCCACATTGAAGCTTTCTGGTCTTCAACGAAAGATCCCTTTAAGCAAAATTTTCCTCACAAGGCACAACGAGAGCCTCGAGATGGGCAATGTGATTGGCAATCATTGCCAATTACATTGCCCATCGTGGCTATCAAAAGTTGTGCTTCAAAAGGTGTTCCTCGTAGTCTAAATTCATCAGCTTGAGCACGAATATTTTGAAAGTCTGTGAGCGGACTTAATAATCTGCACGTGCTGTAAAGTGGGGACAGGATGTACGATGCATGGTACTGTCAGCAGGAGGTGAAAGGTACAGGACTTGTCACGAAGTAAAAGGTAATTCTTCGAAGTAGCGTCGAACGAGTAACGACATGGACATCCAATTAGAAAGCAGCGGAGTGGAGCTTTTGCAGCCATTTGCGTGGTAGTCGAGTCGATCGCTGCTGCTCGAGCGGTGCAGTGGTCGATTAGTTTCGCTTGCTGTTGATTTTCTTCTTTATTTCTCTCTTGCTTCCTCTTCCTCGGTTTGCACGTGGTGGGAGATATGGGATGAGGGCTGATAGAGGAGTTCTGAGAGTCAACATCAGCTGAAGGTCTTCTAGCCAGGCTGCTGTCGTGCGCTCCACTCCAGCCTCAAGGGGAATCGTCTGCGAGGCTCGAGAGACCGTCATCGTTTTAGATCAAACTTTCCAGAAGTTGGAGAACACAAAAGCGGATCAACAAGCAGAGATGAAAAGGCGCAGCAGGAGTTGACAACTCCTGGTTTGGAGTTGAAGAGGCTCCAGTATCAAGTTCAACATGTGGGATGATTCTTAGATGAGGCGAACAAGATGATTTGTGCAACTCAAGAAAATTTGATTGATTACCATAGGAGATACAGTTTCAGGTGAAATATTTTGTAATCAGGTTTGACTTCACCGAAAGTAGAGAAAATCATTTGATGGTATCACTGTGGAACACACATAGGTTATTGAACACATCAAGTATCATTTTACCCTACGGTTAGTATCGATTCGTTGCTCTTGCTATGGTAGCACTGATCTGGTGATCGATGCTTTTGGTTATTGGTTTGAGACTGTAAGTGTAGCAGATTCCCATTGACAGAATATCTGCCTGTGCTCTATGAAGTATAATGTTAGCTCCAGATAGGTAACCTGAAGTTTGTGTTGATTCTTCGTGTGGAACCATATTTTGGTACCTTGCGCAGGTAGAGATGGTTCTTTTGACTGATGTCAAGCCTTCAAATTTGACTCTGACAACAAATTGAAATGCTTTGCTAAAAGGTGTGGACAAGGGAAAGCTAAAACTGAAAATGAAAATGTCGGACTGGACCAGATCGGAGAAGCAACGAGTCTTGAATCATACTAGAACATGAGTGACGGCACTCTGTCGGTGAGGTAACATAGGATAAAATGATACTTGATGGGTCCCGGTAACCTATGTGTGTTCCACAAGGATCCCATCAAGTAATTTCTTCACCGAAATTAGCGGAGTGTATGATATTCAACCATGAAGCACCGACACATTTCCCTATGGTGATGTTTCTAGAATCAAACATTTGACATGCACATCTTACTGCTCATGTAAAGATATGGTAGGATTGCTCACTTGAGTGAACATTCGAGCATGGAATGTGCGTCAATAGCCCCACTAGTTTCACTATCAGTCCTTGTTTCGGTTTCAAAAAGTTGATCAGAAAGCAAATCAAAGTCATAGGAACTGAAAACTACATCAAAGTGAAGAGTAAGTTTAAATCTAAATATGTATATTTTTTTGATAATAAATTTAGGAAAAATGTCTAACAAGTTGTTACACTTATTATTTTAAATTCAAAAATTTCATTTTCAGAAAGAATAAATGAGTTAAAATAACACTTTATTGTTTGAGAATCAAAAATAAAATCTGCAAACCAAAAAACTTTCAAACATCAATATCAAAGTTGCGTGTTGTGATGTTCAAATCTTCAAAATTTTGAACAATGAATAAATGATATTAGAATGTTATTTCATCTTTCAAGCTTCTTATATTATACATATCAGTCATTCACATTAATTTTGTTGCATTAAAATAAAGATAAAATCACATGCAACAAGATGATAAGTGCTTGATTGATTAATATTAAAAAATGAAGGTGATGATATACATATTATACTAATCATTTATTATATCATTAAATGAGACTTGTAATGATTACATAAGTAGAGTTAGATTTAAGCTCAAAGATGAATCTTAAGATAATAAAATACTATTTTATTAAAAATATGGAAAAATGATAAATTTAAGACATAATATTGTATAAAAACTATAAAAAATTATCTGAAATATTTTGGAGAATCATGTAAGTTTAACCCAAGTTACTTAAATTGACATTATATAACAATGTTCACAAAAAGTTTTGACTACACTTTTAGGGTGTTTTTTTCAATAAAACATGAGTGTATTCGTGAACATAATTTGTAGTAATGCAGCACGTATGTCATATGTTGGTTGTGCGTTGCGTACGCATTTTCTTGTTGATGGTGTGTGAATGCATTCACACACCATCAAGTCATACTCATTAGTTGAATGCATTCAACTAATGAGTTTGACTTTTCTTGTGATGAATCATGAAAATTTGTATGAGAGTATGAGGTTGATTTCGAATGCAATTGAATCATGAAAACATTTTGTTTGATTCCCACTTCATTTTGCACAACTCGTACATACATTTTTTATTGTAGAAAGTTACATTGAAAAGCTAGAAATTGAATCTTTAGATTTCTAGAAACTATTAAAGATTATGGTATTTTGTTTGATGATTTATCAAACATTATTTGTTAAGATAAGTACAACTTGCACAAACTCTAGAAGTAAGAAATTTTACAATCAAGTTTGTATTCATATTTGATAATTGATGCATAAGTTAAAAATCTATTTTCCAACATCATATAGCTCAATGAATAATGATGTTTAAATATATAATTTAGAAAAATATACTATTCAATTATATAAATTTTTCATTAAGTGTAATCATCTTCAGTTTGTTAAGATGAAGAAGAAATTCAATTATATTAGACTATGTATAATTATTACGTTAACAATCTAATGCTTGATATGTAAGAATTGAATGTGATATGTCAAAACTATATGCATTTGTTAGGTTATTATAAACATATATATATATATATATATATAAGTATTTTTTTGAGCATATCTCACATCTTCAGATTTTCTGTATCACTTCCAAGTGAACTTTTATTATATATTCCAATGTTTCAACTATATTTGATATGACTTGCTTTTAAATTGGGTGTGAATAAATTTTCATGGAATAAAAAATTAATGATGTTGAACCTTAGTTCTAAGAAGTTTATGAAGGTTGACATAATTATGTGATATCTAAACTAACTCATGTTCAACTCAAATGATTTCTCAAATATTCATCATAATTCTTCAAAGTTAAATTTCATCTACATGTTGATTTCTAAACATTATTTTACACAATATTTCAACTCATCTATCAGCATAAATTTTTATCGACAATTTAAGATTATTTATGAATCTAAATTTTTCATCAATGAAATAAATTTCCATACAAAGAACATTTGAAGTTTTTTTTACAAATTTTTTTAACCTCACTATTAAATTTAAATTAAAGAATAAAAATGATAATGATAAAATAGTAGTAATAGAGAAAACTCACTTGAAAATGAAACATGAAATTTGAAGATGAGATTTCTTGAATGGTTCTTCTCTTGCTTATATAGATACTTTAAACACATAAAAAAAAGATAAGATATTCTACTCTTTATCCAATCTGCTCCTACTGGATTGATGACATGACAAATATATCTAATGAATGCACAGATTGCTGACATGTCGTTTTCAGCTAAAACAACAATTAACATATTTAGTTTTTAACTAAAAAGCACACAAACTGATGATCAATCGCTCTAAACTAACACATTTTCTAACACACTCAATCATCACACGGATTGCTGACATGACGTTATAGAAATTTCATTGTCATATACTCTATTCAATCTTGAATAACCTATATTTCAGTTCAAACTAACTAAATTACATGATGTTACAATAACTCATGATAATTTGCTATCATTGAGTTTAATTTGGACATGTATGATCAATTTCTTTGAAGAATTATACATACTAAAATATCATTGATCTACGTAGATTTTTTAGAATCTTCTAGATTTATTGATTCTAATGACGACATCCCATTGAAAACCTTGAAATTTCTAAAATCTAAACTTGTCTCTAAGCTAAAGCTTAGACTTAGTCTAATCAATGAAATTTTACTA